TATATATATATATATATATATATATCTTTGCCTTTTATTCTTTATCGATAATAAAAAAAAAAAAAAAAATCCCTCAGCCAATTCAAGAGAATCGCGCACAACGACCATAAATTTATAGACCCTGTAAATACACTATATTACGACAATTATCAGGATGCGCTTATGCAAATAATTCGCTCGCCTCGATCAGCCGATCGCCGATAAAATTGTCCGCAAGATCAATTATAGTATTAAACATGAGCAGAACTGTATCTAGCAACGCGCCAAAAGCATCGAGACTCGCAATGATGCTGAACCTCAGATCACAACTTAAACTCGTAATAATAAGTTTAATCAATTTGGCTCCCTTGCATTTTATTCCTTCGGACAAAGCAGAAAGAGGCATCACGCATTTACTTGCACCTCGACTGTTACGTAAGCCCTCGGGCCCCATTGACAGAGAAACGTATCATTAGAGGGTCAGGATTAATTAATCTCGTTGTAGCCGGGGCGGCGAACCCACGCGCTCACTTCCTCCGTCTGCGTCAGTCTCGATCGGGCCACCGAATCTTAATATCGGGGCCCCGACGCTACTCTTTCACCCTTTTCTACGAAAGGGTCGCCTTGGGAATGCGCGCTGCTTCCATTGTCGCTTCCTGTCGCGGCGATCTACTACTACGTGTTCCTTGGTCCTCTGTCCCCTTCCCGCCCACACGCCCTCGGCCTATCCGGTCTCGCCTCATCCCGCCAGTTTATGCCGATGTTCTCTTCCTTTGCGACCATTGGCCATTTCAAGGGAATTTCTTTTGTCGCGCGTATTTTAGCTGCTACGCACGCGGTTTCGTTTTCTTCCTTTCTTCTTGTTTCGATTCTTTTATTTTTCCGACCAGCGTGGCGTTATTGTCCCTGGTTGTAACTATAGACTTTGATGGATGAGTCGCTGCTGCATTATTAATGCTGCGACATTATTAATTATCTGGCTGTATGGCTCGCAATTTTGACGGAGGTGTTGCGGTTCTGTGGTTAATCATATCGATACATTTTGAAAATACTTTAACAATTGTAGTTTCAGCCCTTATCCATCCATCCCTGATATTCTTGGCACATTCGCGCGCTCCTAAGAATTCGCCATCTACGATTAAGATTTTCACGATAATAATTCACGATTGATATGTCTGTCGCTCGATTTTAAGAATCTTGATGATCAAAATTTCTTTAATCTTCAGGATCGATGATTACCGGTCAAATATAAAACGTCAAGTTAAGGAGATTATTTAAAAATGCGAAAATTATAATTTGTAAACCATAGAACTGTGCAACAACTGTAAAGCCATAATGGTCCCTGTAAGCATTGATTTTTCTTCTTCTTCTTTTCATTGAATTGCATTCGTAGCGAAATTAATTGATTTATTCCTTCCGAGTAATAGCCAGTACGTAATTGTTCGCTCCATATCATTTGATAGTACATAATACTTTTCAATTAGAAAATTGATCTTATGCCGAAGACTCAATTTAACCATTAAAAATTAACAAATAATAAGTATTATATTTGAATAAAAAAAAAAAAAACAGAAATAATTATTGATTGAATTGGTATTTATCGAGCAATTTTTATCGAGTTAGTTATCGATTTTATAAGCGATCGAAAAAGCACGCGCGCGCGCGAATTGAAATATCCATTAATAGAGAGGGATAATTTGAGATGACGTTTTTTGTTAAATTTTTTTTGTTTTTTTTTTTTGTTTTTAAGTACGTATAATTTCGTTTGTTCGTGTCGCGACGAAGATCGATGTTTTCCTACCCGCAAGACTTTAAAAACAACAACAAACAAAAAAAATAATTACCAAAAAACAAAAAACATCTGAAAATATTCCTTTCTATTAACAGCGATCAAATATTTACTCATTATTAAATATTATGCGAAATGGGAGTTTCTCAACGTTCGAACCACCCAGGCAATATTTGCCTTTGCGTGTATGCATAAACTCGTGATTCGATGCTTAGGTTAACGAGTTTGCAAAAAATAAAATCCAAGTAAACGAGTGGCCTTGGCGTACCCTGGAGATGCCCAAACGTTAAATCCAGAGCCACGTAGTTAAGATAGGCGCGTCATCCCGAATCTCCACTCGGGATAATTCCCGAAGGTCAGGGGAAGCCTGCCCGGGCAGCCTCAACGGGGGTCGACCTTCACATCCATAGGAGTTAATTTAAGTGTTTGGATTTGTTGGGAATTCTCCCGATAACGGGGAGAAGAAAAAGCCTCGGGATGCCGGAAAGTTGCCGCGGAAGGAGACTGTGATCTAAAAAACTCGGGCTCGAGTCTTGACAGAGCGAGGCTTCACATTCTTCGTATGGCTTTTTTACGCGGTCGTCAAAACGTATTTTCGTAAATTCTTTGTTCGAACTTTTAACATTAGCCCTAATGTAATTGTCAATATACGCTTTTATTATAGAAAAACAAATTCTTCGCTCGAGTGTAAACATTTATGGACCTTTGACCATCCTCGCTTACAATTACCAGTTTGACATTAACGATGTTCTCTTTTTTTCTTCTTCTTCTTCTTTTTGAAGATGACACACGTTTAATGCATTTGTTTATTGAGGGCAATATTGCGTATTTATAATTTCGAGTCCATTGCGTAATATGCTCCTTTTACAAAGGTACTTCTTACTTAACCTTTTAAGTACGAATGCTCGGTGTGTCTGTGAGAATTCAAAAAAGAAAACGAAGTTGCGAGTTGCCAGTTGTGGAAGCGTAAAGGCCTAGAGCAACAAAGCCAACTTTTGACAATGGTTGTAGCTTTGAAATTCATGCTGTCGCCACTTGGTGGGTTTCCTTGAAACACGAGACGAGTTCGGCCAATCGAGCTCCCCCCCCCCATCCGCCCTCCTCCTTCTCCTCCTTCTCCAACCGTCCTTCGCTATCCGCCATCCGACCATTATAAACCGCCAGCAAAAATCGAAAAGGATAAACTAACGGAATATACACGTTCATTCCAATACAAACTGCACATACATATATACACGTAAGCGCGCGCGCAAACACACATATAATATATTATGTCTCATTGCAGTAAAGGCATACCGCGAGGATGAAGGGTCAAGCAGCGTTGTTGCTGCTCCTAATAGCAGGTGCGCTCGCATCCACGACCACGATGTTGGACACAACAACGACCGCGCCAACTTCAAGCAGCCAATTAACTTCCACAGCCAAATCGACCAACACCAGTGCTAGTATCAAGACCAGTACAAGCTCTAGTACCAGCACTAGTACCAGCAGCAGCACTAGCACTAGCACTAGCACTAGCACTAGCACTAGCATTAGCACAGGCACCGGCAATAGCGCGAGCACTAGCACCGGTACTACCACCGGAACTAACAACGTCACTAGCACCAGCAACAGCGTCAGGTCCAGCATAAGCAACACCGACGCCGAGGTATCGTCCATCCTCAGCTTCGACGCCAAGGACATTCTCATTCAGAATATGCGCTCCGAGGATGAGGACGTCAACAACGAGAAGGTGCGCTATCGACTTTGTAATCCGCACTTTACATTATCCGTCATGATTGTCGTTTGCCCGGGACTTGCCTCCAATAATCATTCAATAGATTCGTGATTGCTTAAAGAGGCCAAAGTGGAGAACCGTGATTTAATAAAAAAATTACCGAGGGACTTTGAAACATACGAAGACGCTTCGTCGGTGATGGATTTATTACAAATTCCAAGCTTTTTTTTTTTTTTTTCGTCAAAACGACTAATAATTTAAAGTTTAAAGCTATTCTTAACTCATTAAACAGTGATGAATTTATTAAGTTATTCGAGCTTATAGAAATTTTTATCTATCGTTCTACTACTTTCCCGATTATTAATTTCATTTTGAATTATCATCACGAGAATTACAATATGTAAAAATGTGCGCTCGCAATTACATGCAAATATCTTTAATAAACAAATGAGATAAGATAGGAATTTGATAATTAAACGTTTTAAGGCTTATTAAATACAGATTATTTTAAATCATATTTAAATTTGCGAAAAAATTTACGAATAATAAACAACGTTGAATTATTAAGTTCTCGCATAATTAAACGTCAAAATTCTTCGGGTAGTGGGAACAAAACAAAAAAAAAAACAGAAAAAAACAAAAAATTAAGAAAAAAAGAAACAAAAATCAAATCTTATAACGAACGCCTTTCAAACTGATGTCCATTACAAACATCAATTTCATCATTTCTCTCGTTCGAAAAATTCAAAAGTAACTGGCCGGAGTGTAATAACTATATCGACTTTTGTAATTTAGTACGATACTGCAGGCTTGTATCTCCGGATCTACAACTCTGATATCAAATTACGGTTTTCAAATTCGTTTTTCAACATCGTCAGCAGGCTCCCAGTGTCAGTTCTCCTCCGAACTTCATTAGGATTTATAAATTTACATTGGAAATAATTTTCTCCGTTAAAGTGCGAATCGAACGAGTTGGCCTCGCATACACATTGATCCGTTAAATGTATTATTAATGTATTAATGGCCGAGAATTATAGAAAGTTCGCGAGAGATTGCGATGGAACGATCGGCCGTGCAACGTTTACGTATCTCCAATTACCATTCCGTCATCATCGGCACTCGACACATTATGTGTCAACTCTTTCGCTCGTACCCACTCGTAAGCCTCTCGCGAATTGCCGTCGCCACCCCCCCCTCTCTCTCTCTCTCTCTCGCCTCCACCCTTCCACCCTTCCACCCTCCACTCTCCACCCTCCACCCTCCACCATAACCCACGAAAATTTCGCCGCCCGCACATTATACATATCCCGGTACCCGTGAAATTTCGATCTCGAGATAAACGCGATAACGAAGCGAGCGACGTCCCTAATCGCCCTTCGACGATGCTTCGACAATAGATCCAAGAGGAGTTGGCGAAAGTGATCAAGGCCCAGGCGAGGAGGATCGCCAAGCCGACGTCGGCTCGCGCGCCCTTGAGCAAATCGAGCAGCATCGCCGCGGCCCACGGCAGTTACAACACTACCGACAGCCAAGCGCTTAAAGCCCTTCTCGAGGCCGAGGACATGGTGTATAACGAAGACGTCGAGGGCGACGACGACGACGACGACGAGGACGAGTACGACGACGAGGACGAGGACGATGACGAGGACGACGACATCAACGACGACGAGGAAGTGATGACAGGCTGTCCGGATTACTGCCGGTGCGTCGGACCCTACGCGGCTGCCACCACCGCCAGGTAATTTATAATACCTCGTTTAAACTACACTCGCCGTCCTTCTCCGACAGCCACGTATTTGGCCTTCGCTATGCCAAGGACGCTTGGGCATTTGTGTCTATTGATTCTCATCTTTTTTAGTTCTCGGTTATTTTGAAATTCGTGATGCTTGAAAGCAGGTTGAATGAAGAGGTCCGAACAATATTATTCAATGATTTACAAGACCCGTTGAGATTCTTCCGCGTTACGTCATTTACTCGTCCTTTTGGCCATTGAAAAATTATGATTGCGGCTTTTCATGATATTAACTGTAAAAGATGTATCTTTAGTCCAGTGTTTAGTGGCCGTCCCTACTCAATCATATGCTCCTCGATATGGTAGCGAGGTACATACAAGTCAGCGCGTTACTTGATAATTAGAGGCTCTAAGTGTCGTCTCCCAGCCTGACATTCGTTATTTCAACAAATAGCGTTCGGACGAAATTCCAAATGCATTTGAGCGCTTCATTAAGTCACGATACATTTATTTTCGTGATATATTCCCTAGGATGAAACAATGCATAACAGCTTATATATATATATATATATATTTTTTTATCTTGAGAAGCTGCATGAAAGAGAAGCAAAACTCAAGATAATATTTACAACGTAATTTGAAATTCAGCATTTCATTATCCATGCTGAGCGTGTGTTTGAGGAGGGGAGGGGAGGGGTCTCTCTTCCCTCAACCCATCTCATACACAGACTAAGTGGCCACTATGCATATTTATAAATATTTGTAAAATTTTAATTGCACGCTTAATTATTAAAGATGTTTCTCCAATGCTTAGTGTAAGATAGGGGAAAAATTTTATTATTATAAAATTTTGTTTTAACTCTTCGTGTCATTATTGCTATAATTTTAATTTTTTAAGTAAAAAATGTCGCTCGTATCTTCTTTTTTTTTTTTTCTTTCTATTTCTTAAATATCATACTGACATAAAATATTTGTATTTTAAAACCTAATCACTTAAAATAATACAAAAAAAAAAAAACAAAAAAAAAAAAATGAAAAAATGAAAAAAAGAAGAAAAGAAAAAAACCAGGCCAAAATAGCATTATTTATTTGTACTATATTGAAAAATATTGTCTTATAAAAGCCGATAGGAATCGTAATAATAATAATAATGCCCAAAGACTTAGAATAATCTCTTTTAACTAATTATTCGACTCGAAAACTGGTTTTCTAGCGAAATTAAATGTAACTAAAACCGTCCAAGAGTATGAATAGTCTGGGATTGCGTGGTCGAAAATGGGAGTTAGCGAGACGTCTAAGAGCTTTAGACTCCTTGTACTTTATGCACTATTACGCTAGTCAAGTGGAAGTCCTGCAATTCCAAACTGCAGCCAATGAATCGTAAATAAGTCTTTAGAAAATTATGAAACTCCATTCAACGAAATCGAAAATAATCCAACGATTATGCAATTGCATTTTGCAAAACGCCATTGATTATAATAATATAGGCGCAAAACCATATTGGGTCCGACTTAAAAAAATCCCTCCTCGAAAGGATCTTGGATGAATAAGCATTCGGTCGACGATACTTGGCATTGAAAATTCGTTAAAAAATCTCTTCCATCCACCGCAGGTGCAGCAAGTTGCTGGACGACCAGAACTTCGGCTCGGGCATCGCGCACCTAAAAATCGAGAATGCCGGGGACATCAAGCTAGGACCACACGCACTTCGTAAGCTCGGACTCCGCCAGCTCGAGTCCATCAGTATCGTCGACACGAAGATCGTCGAGCTCGACAGGACCGCTTTCGACGGGCTGCGCGACCTCTTCGTCGTTAACCTCACCCACAACGGCCTCACCACCATACATCCCGACACCTTCCAGAATAACTCGCAGCTCAGCCTCCTCACCATCGCCAACAATCCCCTCAAGTTCATGACCTTTAGGCGGGGAAGCAACGACTACCTCCTGGATGCACCGAGTGTCACTGAATTAGGTAGGCTTTACGCTTTTTTATTTCCATTTATTCCGTGGACAATGGGGCTTGCCGCTGGCGTTGCAAATTTTATGCTCCCAATGATTTGTGAGCCTAGGCGACGGAGCTGTGGGACGGGTGGTGGTGATGGGGAGGGGGGATGGGGAGATGTTCGCGGCTGGCGACAACGTCCCTGCGCAATTTTAACCACAGAATCGCAACCTTAAAGCTAATATTATATAATGGAGACGCGCCTTATTGAACGGAAACTTTAACGATGCAATGAGCATTTTCGAGGTTAATAATTGTAGAATGTGGTGTGGCCAAAGTGATGTAACGATTAAATATTTGGAAAATATTATGGAAAATACGGTTATAAGGACACGTCGAGGAGCTCAATAATATTACCGGTGAAATAATTGACTTGCTCCGAGTAAACAAACGTCGGCAAAGTTTTATTCCGCTCGCCCTTTTGGATACCTCTAACTCGATTAATGCACATTAAATATATAAAAAGTACACGCCCTTCCCAATTTATATATTTATTTATTCAATTTAAGACAATCGAAGAAAACCAAAGTGTCGTCGGTAAATACCATAGTTTTTATAATGATGCCAATCAACGTGTGAATTAATTGTATTATCTGCCTTATCTTTAGAAACGTCATTGACAGTCAAATGACAAAACCAACGTAAAGGAGAATTTTTACGAGATGCTCCTTGTTGCGTAAAATAAATCGGCCTATTTGCGACGTGGAGCGGATACTTTATAATCCACTAGTAAATATCTCACAATCACGAGAGATGCAAATACGGTTTAACTTTACAATAACTCTACAAATAATACCTTACGCGTTGAAATATAAGAGCGGAAAATCTCTCCCATACATTGCGTTCAAAATTCAGGGAGCTAACAAGGCGCATTTGGATATTAAAAGGACAAATTAAAAGCATCCGAGCGCAAAAGGATAGGGCATTGTAAACAGTGCGCTCGTCAAAATAATCATGAAATTAAGGTTGAAATTAAACTTCTATTTCGTGTAATCAGATTTTTCCAGCAACCAGTTAGCGCGACTGCCGAGACGTGCCTTCGCCAAGATGACCAATCTTGCCTACATCAGTTTGAAGAACAATCGCCTCAACAATATTGAACGAAATCTTTTTAGCCCATTGGACTCGTTAGTGGATTTAGACCTGTCGCACAATCTCCTCTCTGATTTGCCCCTTGACTTGTTCAAGGACAAAGGCTTACAAACCCTGAGAATTTCGGGCAACAGCTTAACGACTCTAAGTGTTATCAGGTGAGCAAGATTTTTCATCTTTTCATCCAAATTTTGACGCGATTAAGTCGCGCGTTGGCTATTGAGCCATTGGGTTGATAGTCTTGGAAGGGAGGACCGATCGCGCCTCGCTTTCATGTTATCCCGAAATTCATTATGCACAACCGGATGATAGATCTCGGTGTATTTATAGCAAAAGTGAAAAAGTACATCGATGCTTCGATGAACAACGAAAGCTCTGCTATTTGGCTCGCGATAGTCGTTAAGCAGCCAAAATCATCGCCCCCAGCGAATTTCCACACATTGGAGCCGAGTATGAGTAAATAATTTTTGTCCCCCCCCCTCCTCCGCATTTTACAGGGCATCGAAGCTTACGACGTTAGACGTATCGATGAATCGCCTCAAGGTTATCGCGAAGGGCGATCTCGACGGTGTTCCCTACCTGGACCAGCTTTACTTGAGTGCCAATAATCTCAAACGAATTCACCAGCACGCCTTCTCGGATCTCGATCAGCTGACTTACCTCGATCTCAGCAACAATAATCTCATGACCTTGAGCGAGCATCATTTCAGAACGAATTCGAGGCTGCAGGTGCTGCTGCTCAGTGACAACCCCGACCTTGAGACTTTACCGGTCTTTAGAACGAACGCCCAAGAATTCGAGAGATACAGGTAAGGGGGCGTGAGTCAAGTAAAAAAATTTTTGGAAAACAGCTTCTGGTCCATTGATTTTTCGGCACCGAGTGTCCTTGAATTAATAGCGCTCGCTTCACTAACAAGTCCCTTAAGAGTAACGCGGCCGGATTTGTACCCGACTCCCGGGAACACCGGGAACACGTGCCGATTAAATTGCTCACCTTACGATTCCCTAGCATTTACCGCTTCGAGTGCGAAAACTGCGGTCTGACCTTCATCGAGTCCGGCACGTTCGACGCCATGCCCGCGATGACGCGCCTCAACCTCGCACGCAACAAGTTGACCGGCCTGCCCAAGGACCTCTTGCGCTCGCTCTCGTCGCTGCGCGAGCTCGACCTCTCCATGAACGGCTTCGACGAGCTCGAGGACGACACATTCGAGGGCGCCACCTCCCTTACCAAGCTCAACATCGCCATGAATTCGTTCGCTTCCGGCCTAAGGGTCACGCCCTTCCTTAAGACGCCAAATCTGCTGCGCCTGGACGCCAGCTACTGTAACATGCAGAGAGTCTGGAGCGAGGCGAGGTTGCCATTCAAGAGCCTCAGGTAAGAGTCATCCTCGAGGATCATCCTCGCCGGATTATTATCCTCATTGCCGAACGAACGCTCAAGCTTGTACATTTTTCCATTACCGTTCAATTCTTTCCAAGTCACGACAAATAATGTCAAATTTAATGCCACAAATTTACAACCTTTTTTTCGAAATCACATATCGCTCGTTCACGCGTAATTTTCATCTTTTTTTTCTATTATTGGCATTTAACTTTGGCCAGAATCAATAATGGCATTTTTGCATTGCAATTTGGACGGTCGAGATGGAAAATAAGAATAACTGGGTTTTAATAGAATAACGCGGAAAAATGATAACCTCGCCAAGCCATTGCCCACAACTAACGTTCGCGCCTCGTATTCCTTCCCCCCAGGTTCCTCTCGCTGCACAAGAACCGATTGACGCGCGTCACCGTGGAGGAGCTGCGCGCGATGCCAAATCTCTCCGGTCTCGATCTCTCGCGCAATCCGCTCCGCTGCGACGAGGACCTGAGCGCCGCGATCCAGTGGCTGACCGACAACAACGTCACGCCCAAGGAATCGGTCCACGTGACCGGCAGCGTTACCAAGCACGACTACGATTACGAGGGCTACGGGGAGTCCGAGCCCGTCACCCAGTGGAGCGACCTCGCCAAACGGCTCTGTGACTCCTGGGAGGGCGGCCCGCCACCGAGGCCCGCCCCCAGAAAGCCCGCGAAGAAGTCCCAGTCGGCGGGAGCGCAGGCCACGGCCGCGGTCCAAGAATCCGCCGAGACTGGGCTGCCATCCCTACCCGGACCCTTCATCAAATTCGACTTTAGCGACGACTTTAGCCACGTCCCCAACAACAAGGTAAGAGCGCTCCGCTACTTTTTT